GACCGGGTCGGTATGGTTCCTGCAAGGTTCCCAACTCCCTGCACTATGCTCGGTGCACAGTAGGCGCCTAGTGATGACTATGTTTAGGTCAATAAGACAGTCAAGGCAAGCGGCATCTGAGTCGGGGGAGAGTCTCCAATGCAGACAAAAGGGTTCCCTGAGGTCCTCTGGGGCGCTGAGGCTTAGGTCCTTCCTCCCCTCCCCCGCAGGAATGCCGTGGACTCAGCAGCTCAAGGTTGGGGTACCGCTTCCGGCGAACAACACAACCTCGTCCGAATCCTGGTCCGCTTGCAATCCGACCTTTCCCTTAGGCGGCGCTCCAGGCCGCAGCCGCCAAGTTTAGCGCAAGGCATTTCGGGACTTGTAGTTTCCGTGGGCATGTGCCCAGGGCGCTTGCGCACTGGAGAGACGCGCGCCGCCCGACCACCATCAGGATTCCAGTTCCTTGCGAAGGGCGCTCCAAGCGACAGAGTTCCAACCGAATACGCCTCTCTAGTCCGCCGAGGGTGAGCCGTGTAGGGGAAAAGTCCGCTCTACGTGGGCTGTCGCGGTGCCCTGCAAAGAGACCGGAACAAGCGCGCCCCCGCTCCGGAAGTGAGCGGCTTCTGCCGCGGTGCATTGTGGGGGGCGTAGTCCTCTTTCCCAGGCGGTCCTTCGCGGCGTCCCTGGGGCCCACTCTGGAGCGCAGGCGGGCGGCTGGGCGGCTGGCTCGGCGCGGGCCGACGGGAGGCGTATTCTGGGCACGGGGCGCCGGGCCAGGCCGGCCGCGCCGGGCGGCGGTAGTGGGAGGCCGCCGAAGGCCTCGCGCGGTGCCGCCCGTCGAGGGGCGGGCGGCGGCATACCGACCGGGCCGTCGAAAGGCTCAGAAGGTCGGTGGGCCGGGCCGGGCCGCGCGGCGCAGCCATGCCTGGCTTTACGTGCTGCGTGCCAGGCTGCTACAACAACTCGCACCGGGACAAGGCGTTGCACTTCTACACGTTTCCCAAGGACGCTGAGCTGCGGCGCCTTTGGCTCAAGAATGTGTCCCGTGCCGGCGTCAGTGGGTGCTTCTCCACCTTCCAGCCCACCACGGGCCACCGTCTCTGCAGCGTTCACTTCCAGGGCGGCCGCAAAACCTACACGGTGCGGGTCCCCACCATCTTCCCGCTGCGCGGCGTCAACGAGCGCAAAGTAGCACGCAGACCCGCGGGGGCCGCAGCCGCCCGCCGCAGGCAGCAGCAGCAGCAGCAACAACAGCAGCAGCAGCAACAACAACAGCAGCAGCAGCAGCAGCAGCAGCAGCAGCCGTCGCCGTCCGCCTCCACTGCCCAGACCGCCCAGCTGCAGCCGAACCTGGTATCTGCTTCTGCGGCTGTGCTCCTCACCCTTCAGGCTGCTGTGGACAGCAGCCAGCCTCCGGGATCCGTGCCTCCGGCTCCCACCACTCCCACGGGAGAAGATGTGAAGCCCATTGACCTGACGGTGCAAGTGGAGTTCGCGGCCGCAGAAGGCGCAGCCGCCGCAGCCGCTGCGTCGGAGCTAGAGGCTGCTACAGCAGGGCTGGAGGCCGCCGAGTGCCCCATGGGCCCCCAGTTGGTGGTGGTCGGGGAAGAGGGCTTCCCAGATACTGGCTCCGACCACTCGTACTCGTTGTCGTCAGGCACCACAGAGGAGGAGCTCTTGCGCAAGCTGAACGAGCAGCGGGACATCCTGGCGCTGATGGAGGTGAAGATGAAGGAGATGAAGGGCAGCATCCGTCACCTGCGTCTCACCGAAGCCAAACTCCGTGAAGAACTACGCGAGAAGGATCGGCTGCTGGCCATGGCTGTCATCCGCAAGAAGCACGGAATGTGAACGAGTCCCCTTTCGGCCTTCGGGACTCCCAGACTCCTGCCAGCTTAGAGGGACCTGAGGCCGCCGCTGTTGAACTCCCTCATACTCCTGGGGCACAGGTTGGCAGTACTGAGCCTTAGGGCAGCTGGACTCTTTTGCTGGTGACCAAGCACCCTCTCTTGTTTCCTCCTGAAGCAAGGTCCAGAAGTCTGGGATCTCAGACTCTGCACTGGTGACACCAGCAATTATGACTTTGTCTACCCCTCCCTACCTTCACTCCCCAACCCCAAGTGTATGTTGCAGGTTCTGGTTAAGCAGAGGCTTCAGAACCACTGAACTTGAAACTTATCCCCTAGGGATGCAGGCGAGATGCCCAAGGACTGTGGCTTTGGGAAAACAACTAAACCTTGAGTTTGGCCGGCAATCAGAGACAACTCTTCTGTGTGTAGTGATAAGAGATCCAAGTAACATCAGTTCTACTTTTTGTGCTTTTCCTTCCCAGGTGCAGCCTGTGATTCTGATGGGGACTGGCAGATCTGTGCCTCTGCCTCCTAGGACCTCCCTCCCAGGAGGCCATCGACAAGGGGATCTAGGTGACCTGTTGATGGAGATCCAGCTTGCCAGGGACTTTGGTCTATCCTGTTATGTTTGCTACTGGTTACAAATTCTATTTTCTGTACAATTAGTCAGACTAAAGTTTTCACTGTGTTTGTTTGGCAAAACAGATTAAACAGAAAGTAAGGTTTTTATTTGGGTTTCGCTAATTTATTTTTATAAGGACTCAGCTAAGAGTCCCTGAAACATGGGGAGATGGACTTCCTGATAGGCCTCCACCTTCGCCGCTTTAGGTCTCAAGGACCAGGCTGACCCTGAGAGTAGAGATGCTTCAGTGACTAGGTTTCTCCATAAAGAGGCCCTAAGCACAAGGACCCTGGCCTCATAAGGTCTTTGCAGAGTTCCAGCTCACCCCGAAGGGTCTGGAAATTGCACCAAATGGTCCTGGTTTGTCCATGGGTTAGCTCCCTGTGTCCTTTCAACTGGGAGAAGGAACAACTGAGAACTAAACTGACAGTGGCAGCCCACTTCTCTGAGGGTTTTGAATTCCTTAAGAATTTTCAGCTGGAGTTGAATTTTGCTCACTATTATAGCCCTTAGGCCTAGTATGGTGTCTGGCACACATGGGCATGCAGTTACTTAAATAAGTGAAGACCGTAGCTGGAGCCAGCCATGGACTCTTATACAGATACCTTTGACTTTGGTACATTTCCATTGTGAAGGAGGTGGATCCATAGAGGACTTTAAGCATAGGAGTTGGGATTTGTGACCCGTTGACTCATTTTCTTGGCTGTTAACATCTTTCTTTAGATTGGATATTGTAGCGGCAAGGTGACATTTTTATCTATAGTTCCAAGTAATTTAGCTCAAAGCTAGCTACAAATGCCTTTAAAGCTAGTCATGTTTAACATGGGTGTTGGGGCACAAATGGACACTTATTGGGCTCCATAAAGCATATGACTCCTTTCTCTGTTACTTATGGAAAAAGCCACTTACCTGGGGTCTTTCCCTGTGTTTTCAAACTGGAATGACTCTAAAATTAATGTCTCTAATTTCTGCTCTCCTTCTGGTCCCTTGGCACTGACTTGAGAAACAAGTCTGTGGTGGGGAGGAGGGGTGGGAGATAGGTTGTGCAGTACCTAGATGTGGAAGGGACTGTATCTGTCCCTTCCTAGGGTTAGTTCTGGCTTGTCCTAAGGTGGTGGAAGCACAGCAGTGACCTTCCAGGCCAGGTGGGACTGAAGCCCTTTATGGGTAGGTATTGGATCAGTTGCTCAACTGTCCCCACCCTCCTTCATTAGGAGTGAGGACTTTCCCAGGCCCAAGCCATGCTCTTTAGTGTGTCCTTTAGCTCCTGTGTGTTGAAGGGACTTAGACTGTTTCAGCTTTGGCTCACTTGAACCTCTCAGCAGCACTCCCAGGAGAGGGTGAGGGCCAGACTGGCTAGGACTCTCTGGTGTCTGAATGTTGTGAGCACACAACCTATCTGGTGTTTTAGCTTCTGGAGGGGAGGAGGACAGCTCAGAGCAAGGGAGGTCCTAGACACACCACAAGCAGGGCAATACAGAGTCTCCCTGACTGAGTCATAAGAGAAGAATCTAGTCAGGCAAAGTAATACAGATCTGGGATTTAATTAAACAGAAGCCTAGCCTGGTCGTATGAGGCATTCCCGGGAGGAGCGGTGGGGGTGACAGTGAGGATCTGTGAAGGACCCTTCTGGAAGAACAAGAGAACTGAGAGATCTCTGGTCAGGAGAAGACTTGTTGCTATAGACTTTACCTGTGATCCCCCTGGCTTAGCTGCAGAGCATTTCCCCAGCAGGCCTGAACTAGAGACAGGCCTTACTTCAAAAGTTTGCGTTGCCCGGGAAACGATGAAAATGGGGGTTGAAAGGAAAGGGCAATGGGCGGGAGGGAGATTATGGACAATTTTATCACTTAAATCACGGGGAAGGTTTGGGCGTGCCAGTTATTACTCTTTTCTCTTAATAAAAATGAAACTCTTAGCTGCCATGCCTGCTGGAAAAAAAACAAAAACCAAACTTGTGAGAATGTCTTGTAGACCCTAACTGCAGAAATCTAAAGAGTAATCTTGTCTCCAGCCCAAGAAAAGCCTCGCCTGCTTGAAACCAGCTTTGGGTCCGACTAGCACCGGGCAGGGCGCAAGAATGTTTGGAAAAACAGAAGCTGTGCGTTCCGCCCCGGCTGGCCTTAGAGCAACACTCGAAGGGGCTGCAGGGGCGGCCAGAGCACCAAAGGGGAGGGGGCTTTGCGAGCGGAAACAGCTCAAGGGCCCAGGGAGGGGCGGCTAGGCCAGTTTGGGGCCAGGCCGAGCTCCCACGGAGGCGGGGCCAACACCGAACGGCCGCGCAACCAGAGCTGGGCCGGACCAGCTGGGACTTGGCGATAACTGAGCCCTGACCCTCGCCTGGCGCCAAGCTCGGGTGTTCCAGAGGCTTCCGCTAGACCACAATTCTCAGGGGCTCGCCTCGGCGGCCTCCCTCCCTGACTTAGTCTCCCCTCCCGCGCTGCGGGCCGTGTCTGGGCCTCGGCGCATAGGACGTCGGGAACTGTAGTTTTCTCCTGGCGCACCTATGCCAAAAAGGAGAACGGGGGGAACTGCGTTTCCCAGAGTGCAGCGGGGTGGCAAGGGAAGGCAGGGGGGAAGGGACAGTCGGTCGCAGACCGCGCTGGGTTGCCGCCGCCGCTGCCGCCATCGTGCCAGCCCGTCGGGTGAGTGTCTGGGCTAGCGCGCTGGGGCGGGGGCTGGGCCGCAGGAGCCGCGCTCCGGGTCGCCTGGAGCCTCAGCTGCGAGTCCCAGGGCCGCCCCTCCCCTCCCCCCCCCCCCCCCGGCGGCCCGAAGCCGCGCGGGGCCGGGGCCATGTGTCGCGTGCGGCTCCGCCTCCCGTCGGTCCTCTGAGGCGGCGGCCAGGGGGAACACAGAGACAGCCAGGAACCCATTTCAGGCGTACCGTGCCCGTGGCGGGCACACCGGACTGCGCCGGGGCCGGGCCTTTTTCTCTGTTCTGGACCACCCGGATGGGGCTCTCCGGGCCCCGCCCCGTCTGGCCTAGCCCGGCCAGCCCGAGTCCTGCAAACTCTGTAGGCAGGCTAGCGGGCGGACCCCAGCCACACGTTCTGCCGCCCGCCTGCCAAGGATCCGGGGATGGGCAGGTGCCACCAGGCCCGCTCCGGAGTCAGCACTGGGTAAGGGCGCCCGCCTGCCGCAGCCCTACCCTCACCCGGTTCTCAACCATAGCTCGGCTAGGATGTAGGCGAACGCTCCCTTGCTTGTCTGCCCGCTGAGAGTGCACGAAATCTATCTCCCACCCTGGAACTCAGATTCTCCTGCATCGAGGCCAGGGTCAGGGAATCTGGGGTAGGGAGGGGGTTCCACGTGGGACTTCATCCCCGGCCAGTCTTGGAGGATCTGGCTTGATGAGATGAGGCTGCTCCGGGCTCGTAGGCTCAGTCCCCGCCCTTCTCTCTGTCAGTGATCAGGCCCCAGCCGTGGGTGGGTTGGCCGGCCGCGTTAGTGGAGGGAGGGAAGGAAGGGAAGAAGCCAAGGAGGTAAGGCTGAATGTGTGAGCCTCCAACACATCGTTAGATCTCTTCAGCACAGCCTAATCCTCACTTCTGCCCCTCCCAGAGTCATCTGCCCTTTTCCCACAGAGGAGGATGATTCGATAAGAATGGTAACGGTAAGGTGGGGTTTAATGGAGGGGAAAGTAGAATCCAGGTCTGAGGTCCCTGAGCCTAGTGCCAAACAAGAGGCTGGGCTGCAAGCAACATTGGGCATAGGGCACATCTGGGCTGTGGGGCTCAGATTGATGCTCTGTGAGGCCCTTCTGAAGCCTGGGTGGCAGGACTAGAACTGGAGGCTGCACAAAGTCAGGCTTCCCTCACCTGCCTGCTCACTTTCCAACAACTGAGTGACCTATGAACAGGCAGGAAGCTGGTTGGGCCTTGGGAAATTGCCTTTAATGATGGCTCTAAGGACTCCATTGATTTCTGGGAGTAGGGAAGTATCTAGCCATAGAGTAGTCTTCTAGCAGGCTTTGTAAAGGCACTCCTGATTGGTGATAAAATTAAGGGACAAGTCCAGAGAAGACCATGGGATATGGAGAAGAGACAGTTCGTTAAGCCTTGATTCCTCTGACCCCAATGTAGATTCTGAGCCACAGTTCTCGCAGGGATAAAGAAGCAGCTAAGTCTCTGCAGACCTGGCCTCAGCAGCATGCAGTTCTTTTAGGAGAGTTGAGTTAGGCCTGTAATGCAGGAAGCCACCATCCTTGGAATTTTTTTCCCTTGAGTATTTCCCCAGGTAATATTTTTCTGGTCATTGAACTCTAGCCTTGGAAGTTTTCCTGCAGTTGAATTGCATTCTCCCTGGTTAAGGAGGACAGGCAAGGAAGGTTCTGTTCAGATCTCGTCACCAGGGCCTGCGTTCTCTCTGGACTCAACCCTCCTAGTCCACATCCTAGCCCACGAGCACATGGGAGTCAGGTTCATTCAGCAGACTTAGGAGAGGCCTGGTTTGCCAGTGGAGGTGGGCAACAAGGAGGGACCACCCACAGGACACAAATAGGATCAGTGTGATTGGATTTCTTAGTGCTATAAGTAGTTGTTCCAAGACCTTGAGATTGTCTGGGTTGGTTCTTTCTAGGACACTGGTGTCAAGGTGAATTAGGCTTTATGGCTGTGGATTAGTTCACACATTGCAAAGCCCTAGGTGACTTGAAAACAAGGGTTTTCTTCAAGGTCAAAATGCTGCTGTTCCTTGGGAAAAAGGAACAAAGGTTACTTGGGAACAGGAGGAATTCAGGTCCTCCCTCTCATTCCAATCGTTACAGAACCCTGAGGTTCTCCAGAATCAGTCTGCACCCTCTATTCATGTAGGGCTGACTTGGGAGGTGGGGCCTGGCATGGGACAGTCAGGATATGGCTGCGTAAGCAAGCGGGCAGGCTGTGAGGATGCTGGGCTCTCAACCAGCTCAACTAGGTCCCTTAGTGACATGGAGACCACCTCTCCTCTCTGAGCCACGTTTCACTTTATTCTGCTGTCTTTGCAGTTGGTGGGTTGGGATGGGAAGAATGATTTAAGTGAAAGAATTCTCAAATTTTAGAACTGGAAGGCACCTTGTATCAAAAAATTCTGGAATACCCTTACTGAGGCATTAGTATCTTGCTTGAATTTTTTTTTTTCTCCTTTTACACCAATGATCCATTTTATTCAGCAACCATTCTTGCAGTGCTTTCTATATGTCAGCCCACTGGGCTGAGGCTGGAGGTAGAATAATGAATCCTACCAAGTCCTGGTGCTGGGGAAAGGATGTCACAGTAGTGGAAGAGACAGAGGTAATGTTGCTATTATGTGCTGAGGGCTAAGTTGAAGGGACCCACAAGGGGCTCTTGGCCCTTTGCAAAAGAGGGGGCTTCTGAATGAGTAGAGTACCAGAGAGGAAAGTCTGTTAGTGAGCCCACTCTCCTCTCCAGTGCCTGGAGAAACCACAGAACAAGGTATACTTCAGGATGTTGGGGCCAGGAAAGTCTGGGGTCCCTTGAGAAACTTGGCTGTCACCACTCCAAATTGCTGTGGCTGTTGAGTCTAGCAGCTGTCTTCTATCGGTAGCTCCTGCATTCCTCAGGGGTCTCTGCTGGGTATTCTCCTGGTGTCTGAGAGTCTCACCAGCATTCTGTGGTGTGTGGCCCTATTCCCTGCCTGGAACCTGGGTTTGTGGCTTCTGTCTCTTCTGAGACCCTCTCAGGTCACTTATTCAAGTGCCCAGTGCTCCTGGAGTGATAAATATCAGGACATCTTCCAGAGTCAGACAGAGACACTCTCCCCAGAAGTAAGTGAAAGGGAATAGTCCTTTTGGAGAGAGGGTAGTGGATCCAAAAAGTTTTCCACAGGATGGACATTGAAAGTTGGGCAGGATTTCTGTGTGCTGGGGTTGAGCTGAACCTCCTGATGGGCCTCCTTTTTTTTTTTTTTTTTTTTTTGGTACGCGGGCCTCTCACTGTTTTGGCCTCTCCCGTTGTGGAGCACAGGCTCCGGACGCGCAGGCTCAGCAGCCATGGCTCACGGGCCCAGCCGCTCTGCAGCATGTGGGATCTTCCCGGACCAGGACATGAACCTGCGTCCCCTGCATCGGCAGGCGAACTCTCAACCGCTGCACCACCAGGGAAGCCCGATGGGCCTCCTTTTTTATTTAATTTAATTTAATTTAATTTTTTATACTGCAGGTTCTTATTGGTTATCTGTTTTATACATATTAGTGTATACATGTCAGTCCCTATCTCCCAATTCATCCCACCACCACCACCACCACCCCCCCGCCACTTTCCCCTCTTGGTGTCCATGTGTTTGTTCTCTACATCTGTGTCTCTATTTCTGCCTTGCAAACCGGTTCATCTGTACCATTTTTCTAGGTTCCACATGTATGCATTAATATACGATATTTGTTTTTCTCTTTCTGACTTACTTCACTCTGTATGACAGCCTCTAGATCCATCCACATCTCTACAAATGACCCAATTTTGTTCCTTTTTACGGCTGAATAATATTCCATTGTATGTGTATACTACATCTTCTTTATCCATTCGTCTGTTGATGGGTATTTAGGTTGCTTCCATGACCTGGCTATAGTAAATAGTGCTGCAGTGAACATTGGGGTGCATGTGTCTTTTTGAATTATGGTTTTCTCTGGGTATATGCCCAGTAGTGGGATTGCTGGGTCATATGGTAATTCTATTTTTTGTTTTTTAAGGAACCTCCATACTGTTTTCCATAGTGGCTGTATCAATTGACATTCCCACCAACAGTGCAAGAGGGTTCCGATTTCTCCACACCCTCTCCAGCATTTGTTGTTTGTAGATTTTCTTTTTTTTTTTAATAAAATTTATTTGTTTTATTTATTTATTTTTGGCTGCGTTGGGTCTTCATTGCTGTGCATAGGCTTTCTCTAGTTGCAGCGAGTTGGAGCTATTCTTCGTTGTGGCAGGCGGGCTTTTCAGTGCAGTGGCTTCTCTTGTTGTGGAGCACAGGCTCTACGCACGCGGGCTTCAGTAGTTGTGGCTCATGGGCTCTAGAGCGTAAGCTCAGTAGTTGTGAACGGGCTTAGTTGCTCCGTGGCATGTGGGATCTTCCCAGACCATAGGTCAAACCTGTGTCCCCTGCGTTGGCAGGCGGATTCTTAGCCACTGCGCCACCAGGGAAGTCCTGTTTGTAGATTTTCTGATGATGCCCATTCTAACTGGTGTGAGGTGATACCTCATTGTAGTTTTGATTTAGATTTCTCTAATAATTAGTGATGTTGAGCATCTTTTCATGTGCTTCTTGGCCATCTGTATGTCTTTGGAGAAATGTCTGTTTAGGTCTTCTGCCCGTGTTTTGATTGGGTTGTTTATTTTTTTGATATTGAGCTGCATGGGTTGTTTATATATTTTGGAGATTAATCCTTTGTCCATTGATTTGTTTGCAAATATTTTCTCCCATTCTGAGGGATGTCTTTTCGTCTTGTTTGTAGTTTCCTTTGCTTTGCAAAAGCTTTTAAGTTTCATTAGGTCCCATTTGTTTATTTTTGTTTTTATTTCCATTATTCTAGGAGGTGGATCAAAAAAGATCTTGCTGTGATTTATGTCAAAGAGTGTTCTTCCTATGTTTTCTTCTAAGAGTTTTATAGTGTCCGGTCTTACATTTAGGTCCTAATCCATTTTGAGTTTATTTTTGT